GCTGCCTCCGCCCCTTCTTTCCCCGGCCCGCCGGGACTGGGAGGCCGGGAGGTGGCGCCCGCAAGGTCCCCGGACGGAAGAGAAAAGACTTTGTCCCCAGTTTTCGCGGAGCTTCATCGTCCCGGCTGCGACGGGCACCCTGAGCCCCATAACTTTCACACACAGCCTGCCATCCCGGAGGCCCTCGGACGCCCCTCCAACTCCCCTACCCCCTAAAATCTCTTGGACCCCTCGACTGCCTCCCCAGGCCTGCAGGAGCCCCCCCATGGCCCGGTCGTACGGCGGCCGGGTGCTGGCCGCGATGATCCTGCTGGGCATCCCGGCGGCCGTGCTGGTGGCGCTGGGCGCGCAGCTGCTGTTCCAGCTGCAGGCGGGCCGCGCGGAGCTGCGGGGACCGCGCGCCGACGGGCTGGGCCCAGAGCCGGGCACCGGCCCCGGGCTGCCCACGGATGCTGCCGGGGCCCTGCTGCCGCTGGCCGCTGTTCTCGCTGCGCTCGCCCCAGTGCTGGGCCTCACTTGCCTGCTGCTCACCGCGCTCTGCGGCCACCTGGGTGCTGAGCTGGCGCGGGGTCCCAGTCCCAGCAGGTAGGAGGACCCGACGCTCCTCCCCAGGCTGCGCATCCGGGCCTCAGGTCGGGGAAAGCTTCCCTCCCTCCTTCTCCTTCCCTCCCTTCCTCCCCTCTATCCCTTCTTCCAACCTATATTAGTTGAAAATTTAGAGCAGGTGCAGCCACGCTATGACCCCCTTGTACAGATCTGGAAACTGAGGCTGTAGGAGAGCCCAGGATCAGCGAGCCACCGTGGGATCGCGCTGGTCGTTTATGGAACCCTGAGTTCTACTTACCTCCCACTTCATGTGGATGAGTGAAGGCCTGCGGCCCCCTGGGTGGCTGGTTCTGCTGTTATACCCCTTTTTAACTGGTTCTCAGACAGGCCAGGCCGCCCTCTCCAGGCTGCCCGGCTTGGAAGTGGATGAGCTGAATTGGAACTTGACTGTGGAAGAGCCTGTGCTCTGTCCCAGGTGGGGTTGCTTCACCAGGCCCCTGAGCTCAGGGGGCACCAAGGAGGCGTCTGTCAGGGGTGCAGTGTCTGCGGAGAACCCTTCCTCGAGCCAAAGAATCAGCTGCCTCATATCTGTGTTTCCCCTAGTCCAGGGTTCTGTGGAGCAGGTGGGAACTTCCACAATTGGAGTAGATCCCATCCAAACGGTGCACACCCCATCCCTAGTTTA